CATGACATACCTCCATCTCTCTCGGGTTCTTCAAAAGATCTTAATAATTGCAGTGGCTCGGGNGGTGGAAATTCTGTCGTTTTTCTCTCATGTCCTACCTCGGCGCCGTGCAGGTTTCACTGAATCCTACATCAGCTGAAGCCCTCAATGTCCGTACGAAATAGCAACTTTTACTGCGCGTACTCTGATGCATATAGGACAACAGGCGTGTTCAGCTCGTACGCTCGAACCCTGAACATCGATTGGTGTTGTATTCAAGAAACTCGCCTTCAAGACTCCAGCTGCACCATCCGATTGACGTTCCCATTAAATCAATCCGTGAAGTTTCACTTAAGCCTCTCTAGGGACCCTTAAGCTACGGGTTTCAGGTCTTACTGGCGTTGGCATGGCTCCCAGTGAGACAGCTGAAGTCGCGCTTCTGAATTGGACCCCAGGCTGTGTCCAGTGTGACTTAGAGATTCTTGTAAAGTAAGCAGCCGACGCCCCGATAAATGAAATTTGTTTGTCGTATCAGCGTACGATCTAACTAACTACAGCCAGGATGCAGATAAAGATGAATTCTACCAAAATCTACACGACTTCTTGCGTATAGCAACCCTGTCTGATATCGTGAATTTAGCAGATGTGAATGCTAGAGTAGGTGGGTTGACTTGGAGTGAGGAGGTCCTTGGGAGGTCCTTTCGGACTAGATTCTGGTCGCTAGGAAAACGAACAACTGCTGTTGGCTATAAATTCCGATCGCTACCTACTCCTCTTCAGGAAGAGTTTCAGACCTTCCACCTACCGGCATGCCACTTGGCGTACGACCTCCTCAAGTCAGCGACGGACGCAGATCGACCATATCGCTATTAGCCACAAATGGCTGGGCTGCATTCAAGACCGCCGGTCGTACTAAAGCACTCCCTTCGAATCCGCATTAGCATGCGCCAAGATGTCTGTGTTTCGGTTGGCCCTCCGAACGCACGATACGACGGTTATACTGTTATCAGCTTGTCTAATGGTCTTCCAGAACGCGCTAGCTGTAAGGTTATAACCACATCCACCCGATAACATCAGTCAGCACTTGTCGCTTATCAAGAGTGCTATGCATCCGATGGTTTAGTAAATTGCGGTCTGACGGGTTGTGCTGTGACACTGGATTTTCGCGGAGTCTCTGCACCTTCTTGACGCACGTCGGTCAATTCCAACGGGCAGAGAGCATAATGAAACACGATTCGTAACGAGACGTGAACTTAATGCAAGCCTACGCAGAGACCGCGAGGTCTGGTTATTGCGTGCGATTGTGCGATTGCTCCATCCTTTCACATTGTCTTGTCGCTCTGACCCTCTCGGAAATCCGATTGGATCATTTTCCGCGATTTGCGGCATTTGGAATTCCTCATCCCAACAGGAGGCTGTCTGATTACCGGCCTGTACCTTCTGTAATGCTCTTGCTGTCACTTCCAGTCCTTCCGTGTGGTGACGGCACTCATGTTATACTGTCGAAGTTCACTAGGCCTGCCAAAGGCTCGCGACTGTAAACAAGGTGTAGTTCCTCGCTTGTGTTAGCTGGGCTAGTACCAGGTCCCTTGTTGCGGCTGACCCATACAACCGATGGATAATTAAACCCTGATCGGTCCTGTGATTCTCGGGCTGGCATAGGAGGATAAGTTCTGAATCCGATGCTGCTTAAGCGTTGGTAGCGAATCACCACAGGATAATCGGTTGTGGAACGATGCGTCATGTGGGGATTTCGGAATGTAAAAAGTTCAATCAATGATGAAACTGGGCCAAAGCTTGACTCGTCTAAGATACACGCAATATTTTTCTAAGCGGATTCGGTAAACGGATAATCAGAGTAAAACTTTGAATTATCTTAAGTAAGGACTACAATATTCAATAATACAGGCCCATGCAAAACTCTTCTTGGTATTTTATCAACTGGCTGTTTTCGCGTAGAACGATTTTGCTAACTACGACAGAGATAGAATTCCGAGGAAGAGAACAAAACTTATGGAAAAATGCATATATATATATGTATATATATTATAAAAGTTGTCCAATACATTTCCCATCCTGTTGCTTGCATAGCAAAATACATAGAAGATAGTTTCCTTCCGCCTTCAGAATAGTAGCAGTTGGAATACTTTCGTACTGCGCGACTCTGTTTTAGCTCCTCGTCCGTCATTAAGCTTCGAAAACTTTCTTTTCATATCCGCAAACTTCGTCAGTTTCGTATTCATTAAGCGATCATTTTCAAAGTCGTGTACCAGTTTGTTTTCCGGTTTTACTTCATTGTTCATCTGTTATTTTTCAGATCTCCTAAAGAAAGATTTTAAACTGCTTCGACGTGGACTGACCACCATTTGTCGTGTCTCTTCAATCCTGCTGGAAGAGTTGGTAACTAACCTGTGAGAACATCATTTGAATGCACGTGAAACGTTTTTCTCATCCGTCAACTAGATCCCAATACTCTTGTGTTCCCTCTCGAATAAACATACATCGTAACTCTATAGTAGCCCCATTAGCATGTATTCTAGTTAACAAAGAACACGTTTTCACAGACTTTGTTAACAGTCTTGGGGTTTAAATCTCTTTATCATTATATTTTTTATTTTATCCCTCGCTCCAACTTGTATATTTTCAACTGAAATATAGGCTTCATGCCTACAGAAGTTATTACAATACAATATAATACAATGAATATAAAACTGGGGAACTCAACGCGTCAGAGATGAAACACGCTACCTCAACGGGAAGTTCCCGTAAGCTGCTCCATCTCATTCGGGTCACCGATAGGAAAGTCTTGGGTGGGAGAGGCGATCTGTGAAGCTGATGACTTGCCCATTCATAACCAAAAGGGATGTTTTGCACGCTGGGCGGGCACTTCGAGGCACAGTTTAGCTGGCCACCAGCGTCAACTTCTCAAACAGCACCTTCAGCACACTTCCCATAATCACTTTCAGCAGAACCACTTTATGAGGCGGAAATCCGTGAGAAGATCCAAGTCTTGGTACGTCACTAAGCACCGGGCTCCAATGGTCTTCCCCCAGCTCTATTCAAAGATGGTGGACTATAGCTTGTTAGATAATTGGTGGCTCCCTTCTCTAAAGTCTGGCACACTTGGAATGTCCTCTCCCCGAGGGGTATTTGATTGTCGTCCCCGTATGCAAAATATACCCGCACAATGACTACGCCAATCGTAGACGTATAAGCTTTATCCCAATAGCGTCAAAGCTGTCCGTCATTGTTCGCCGATTGTATACTATTCGTGAGGAGCAGACCCGCGACCAGCAGGCTGGGTTTCGGGCCGGTCATGGACGCATGGATCAAATTTTCACCCTCCGACAGCTGCTCCAGCACCACCATGCCCATCAAAGACCAACTATAATCATGTTCTTAGAAATCAGCGCGGCCAACGATTCAGTCGATAGGACTACACTGTGGAACTGTTTGCTGAGGAACGAATTAAGAGAGAAGTGTGTGTTGATCCTCAAGGAGTTGCATTGGCATACTTCAGGCCGGGTTATGGTGTATGGCCAACTTTCGCCACCCTTCGCCGTCTCCCGTGGAGTTCGACAAGGCTATCTTACATCCTCATTCATTTTCAACTTTGTCATAAAGGATTTTCTAAAGAATGCTTTGTCCGGTCTAGTAAAAGGTGGAGTCGAAATTCTCCCAGGGAACAGAGTTCGTGACTTAGAATATGCCGATGACATCGCCTTGTTGGGTGACAATGCATAAGCAGTCCAACACGCTCTGAACCACATGGCGACCAAGATATTCAGGTATGGTATGTGCTTTGCACCATCCAATTGCAAAGTGCTTGCTCAAGACTGGCAGGGGCCTTTGCCTGTACTCACGCTTTGTGATGCTCAGCTGGAAGTAGTTAAGAGCTTGAAGTATATCGGGAGCTTGATCGCAGCTGATGATGGTGTTGTGAAAGAGATCACATAATCAATAGCGAAAGCTAGAGTAGCCTTGGTCATCCCACGACAATTGTGGCGCCGCCATGACATCCGACTGTCTCTTAAGGAAGGTTGTGTAACGCCGCGGTCTGTAGTGTTCTCCTTTACGGTTGTGAGACCTGGCCTCTCCGAGTGTAAGATGCTAACAGACTCTCTGTATTCAACCATCGATGTCTCCGAAGCATTGCCGGTGTGTGGTGAGCAATGACAAGGTCCATCGTCGTGTGTCGGGTGCGGATAGTCGTTCTCTACACCGCCTTCGATGATTTGGCCACGTATTCCATATGCCTGCTCATTTTGTAAATGCTGGACAAAGTTGGAGGAAACGTCGCGGCGGTAAGACCATGAAATGGCGTAGATGTAAGAAGAAGGTAGCTTTAGCTTTGGCTTCGGTTATTGCAACCAGCCTTCTAGGTCGGGACTCGACGGATGGGGATTGTCATTGCTTAGAGACGTTAAGATACATGACCCAGAATAGAAGGCAGTGGCGTGAGTGCTATAAGGCTTGCCTGATGAAATACCGTGCCCCGTAAATAAACGATAAAGTACCGCAAAAAAATTAAAAAGTGTGCAGTAACACTGTGGTGACCGCGACCGCAATCCATGCGCGACCAGGTACAGTTGTATGCCATCCTATCACCGTTCAGGAAGCTCGGCCAATGGTACACCGGGCGAACATGACATCCGAGTTAGTACATATGATGCGTCGGTGCGAACGGTTACGTGATTGGAGGACGCTCGTTCAACCAATCATATGGACTGTTACATTCTATAAAACATGATCCAATTCCATCAATAGAGATAAGCATTTGCTGCTATCAATTCCTCGTGTATTTCATTGGTGTCCGCAGTTCGGGTTAGAGCCAATTCAGTTCTGAGCAGTACATTACGGATTCTCGTATTCCTATATTCAGTACTATTCTGATTATCACAATTTGGTGTCACGCAACGGAGATTCCTGCCATTGAACCATTGAATCTGCACGGAAGCCCTTCGAAAATCGAAGAATGGTTAGAACGTTTCCAATTATGGTGCAGCATCCAGAAAAGAGGAATGCAAAATCACTCGGTCCTATTTTTGACGTTGGGCGGCCGAGAGCTGTATTCCCTGATGAAGAATCTAGCGTTCCCGAATGTTCCTGCTGAATTGCCGTTCGAGAAATTGAAATCCCTATTGCGGGACCACATTCTCCCAGTGGATTTTCAGGTCACTGAACGGGCCAAACTCAACTCAATGATCAGAGCTGCCAATACGCCGTGCCGTGAATTCATCCTCCAGTTGAACAAACAGGCGTCAAAATGCAACTATGGTGATCGATTGGAAGAACAACTTTGTGACCGTCTCATTGCCGGAATTAACAACATCTCATTACAACGTAAGATGTTGGAAAAGAAAGATATCACGTTTGCTGAGGCACGAAAAATCTTTGAGAAAAGTGATGATTCGTGTGCTTCCACAAATGCGGATACTCCTGTGTTATTCCGGCAACGAACGAAACCATTACGTGACACACCCAATGTTCATAATTCACCCCAGGTTCCTCAGGTACCCAGTTCAAACCGAACATAACTGCAGGCTGCGACCAACCGCTGCTTTTCATGTGATGAACACCATCTTCGTTCGACTTGTCGATTCCGTAATGCCAGTTGCCATGCATGCGGTAAGATGAGCCATATCCTCAAGGTACGCCGAATGCCCAAGTGCAACCTCATCGATTCCCATATCCCAACGGCAGATGAGAATTCCATCCCAATCTATACGCTGCAGACCACTGAACCCAACGGCCAGTTCGTGTTCGCCCCACTGAGGTTCGAGTCTGGTTTGGAGCATCGACATGGACATAGGAAGCAGCTAATCTATCCTACGGAAATCAGCACTCACTGCGATTTGTCCCAATGCTGTTCTATCCCCGACTTCTGTGCGCATTCATGGGGTTACTGGTGTTGTGTTTGGTCTAAGCGTACGAATGACACGAGCGACTCTTGATTAAGCCCCAACGACAACGCGGAGAGGGAACACAAGGTTGAGATCACAGTCAGCGTGTATTCTTCGATAAGTTATCGATATTTCCAAAAAAATATAGAACTAATCGTGCATACGAGGACGGCGCAGTGACGCACCAATCAGATAGTGTCCTTGACATGTCGATTGATCGATTGGACAAACATTGGCTGATACGTTCTGTGATCATCCAATCAGGTTCAGCCTGTCTGGAGCGTTGCGAGCGTGCGTGTGGCCTGACTCGGAGGCGTGCGCGATCGGACGGGTTTCTTAGGCTCCGTCCTAACAACTGGCCATCAGTTGCAATTACTTGGCGAAACGATGTTGTGCGTTCAATCTGAATCCGGTGTGTCAATCCCAATCCGATTCCTGGTATCAGCCCACAGTCCGTCTATTCTGGGCGTTTGAGCAATGCGCTACTACAAGGATCCATCACACTACATGCTAACAACGATATCCCAATCACCTCACATCTTCAACATTTGATTGTACAGTGTTCCGGTAACGTTGGTGGCATGAAAGTGCCGTCGGTAAAGTTGGAAGTGGACGGTAAACCTATTTTCATAAAACGACGCGTCCGCCATACGGTCAACGAGAAAGGTGTCCTGAAAGCCTTACAGAAAATGGAGCAGGATGGTGTGATAAGCAAAGTTGAATCCAGTGCTTGGGCGACCCCGATCGTCGTGGCGATGAAAAGTGATGGTAGGACACCATGGATCTGTGGAGACTACCGACTGACGTTGAATCCCAGATTGCAGAGATGTGCAGCGACCACCATGGATCCATAGGATTTCATGAAGTTATTGCATGGTTGTCAGTATTTTTCCAAGATCGATTTGGCGGACGCACACCTACAGATTCCAATTTTCTCCCGTTTGGATTGCATGTGTCGTCTGAGCTCTTTCAATTGGCAATAAACAGTGTAATCAAAGGACTGGACGGTGTGCTTGCATATCAAGATGACGTCCTCATTTTCGGCCTTAATAAGAAAGAACACGATGCCCGTCTTACGCAGCTACTGGAAAGATTCGCCGCCAGGAACGTGGCTATCAAGCCGTCCAAATGTGTGTTTGGTGTTAGTGAGTTGGAGATTCTAGGATTTACAGTTGATTCCCGTGGATACCGTCCCGATCCGACACGTTTCAAACCATTGACTAACACCGAATCCCCAAAGGATCAAACGCATTTGAGATCCGTGATGGGATGCCTACAGTACTATTCCCGATTGATCCCGAACTTTAGTACAAGGGCGCAGCCGCTTTTTCCTTACTCAGTGTTCAGACGCTTGAGAATGGTCGGTGGAGTGTGAAGATATCCTACGTGGTTCAATTCGCTGCGTTACTGATCGTCCTGTTTTGGCCCCGTTTTCACCATCAAAACCTACTACACTCATCACCGATGCGTCCGACGTCGGAATCGTTGCTATATTAGAACAAGTAGGATGCCCAGTGATCTGCATTTCACGTCTACTC